TCCGATTATACCCATAGATTTTAACATATTCTTAAATACAAATATTTATTCTGAAGATAAGAAAATATCGATTATAGAATATATAAGCCGCTAATTGTAAGTTCGAAGATTTTTTCTCGTTAACTGAAGTCCTAAGGTTGTCACGATTTACCTTCCATATGAATAGATTCTTTGCACAATTGTTCCTAAGTGATTCTAATAAGCATTAAATGTGTCGTTGATTTGTTCTCAAACATTTACTGTGTATGAAAGTAGAAGAGGTGAATGTAGTATTTTCTCTTTGGAAGCTAAAATTTTAACTAGATGATTTCGAAATCGACTTTTTAAGGATGAATTTTTCAGTGAATGGTTTTAAATGAAATGTAAATGTACTCGATCAAGGATGACTTATTCAAGATAGATGAATGTCGTTTTATTTTTTAGAATCTGTCAAATAAACGACTTATTACCTGTATCAGATGCCATTGACAAATGTTCGTCTACATAAAAATCCCGTATGAACACTTGATGATCAAATGTTAATGTAAGTTCATCTAATTGATATTCAATAAGATAAGATATGCTTTGAATTATTGGTTCAATTGATATACATCGAGTAAGAACAAGTGATTTGAGATTAGGAAAACGAAGAATATTTCTACCATTAAACAGCAATTCATAAATGAGATCACAAACAATTGAATTTGTTTCATCAAAATGAATACGTCGAATAGAAGAAGAAAGAGATGATGAATTTAAAATCAATTCAAAGAATAATGAAGAAAATTTATTATAAGATAAACCTTGTTTAATAATAAGACCAGTATTTAATGAATTATCACCTATTGAAAGAGCTAAACACACAAGAGAATTGAAACGTATATTTAACGACCAAAAACCCGTTAACAGATCGAACAATTCAAGATAAGAAAGAATATGAAGAAGAATTTCATTCGGTAGTGTTTCCATTCTATTTCTTATTTTATCTAAAAAGAAAGATAGATTATGCATTTTATTTTTTTCAGATTGTTAGTATGAATTTAAAGGAATAAGTTACTTTCTTGAATAAAAACCAACTAAACTTTAGTTTTCGAGCTGATTACAGGCCGTCACATGGCACTTTTTCGCCCTCTCCTGAAGATGACTTACAAAACAATGTTGTTGCCCTCCGTTCCTCTCAACGCAAGACAGCCTGTCCAGCAGGTCTTATAACTGAGTTTACCTATTATAACAACTGGTTAACTACCAAAAGCTGCATAGTCGTTTTCATATTTAATAATGTTTTATTCACAATGTTTCAACAAAAAACTTCAATTAAATTTGAATCTAATGATGATGAATTACAAGAAGCATTATAATAATAACATTTCCTTATATCATGTACAAGCACTATATCATTACTTGATCATATTAAAACATAAAATTCATAGGTAGAAGTATATAGAAAAACAAAGAATAGAATTGATAGACCATTCAAAGTAACTTATGCCCTTATTATAGTAAAGCACTCCTCAATGATTTCCCTCCGTCTTCTGTTCGTCTTTTTGTTGTAATTATAGAGAACTACATTTTGTCCAATGAAAACGTATAAAAATTGTCATTGTGAAAAATCGTAAGTCACATCAACTTGCAGTAATATCTGTTATAGTTGTTCGTCATATCAACATTATTGACTACAAAATATTGTGCAAAACACTATTGATAGAAAAAAATTGGGAGGATACAATTAAAAAACAATTTACTTTGTCGTACAGAAAAGGGATAGCGCAACCCTACCCTGTGATGGTCTCTGGTGGATTCTGATCAATTTCTATATGATATTAAAGTGAAAAATTTAGAGCTCAAATTAATGTGTCACGAGTGATCAGTTTATTTTAAGGTTAAATACATAGGCGAAAGGCGTCAGTTTCTGTCCTTTATTTGCATAAATCTTATGTCTCGACCGTAATAAAATACACAAGAAAATAGTAAAATCATATAGACCATCCAAGAGCATATTATATCACATAATATTCAAATATTGTTGTACTTGTTCGTCAACATATGTTAGAGAAAGAATAAGCATATTCATCTCATTTTCATGTGAGTCATATAAATTCGACGAAAAAAAATTTCCGTTCGGCCGATGACCCCAATCAGGTAATGGTTTAGCTGGTGTTCCACTGGTAACATTAAAGCTGGTGTTCCCCCTCATCAAAAGTGTTCCACTATGTAACTTTAAAGTTACATAGTGGAACACTTTTGATGAGGGGGAACACCAGCTAAACCATTACCCCCCAATCATACCTATTCGATTCAAAGTGAAGTGACCAATGTAATTGACGTAGTTACGTAGAAACACCAATTATGTTTCCTTATTCGCTTTGAGTTAAGTCAGTGTGATTGGAGCCTATGGAGTCAAACAGACTAGACGAATTAAAAATGAATTCAGAAATGTGATTGGTGTTTCCACATGGCAACATCAATCACCTTCCTTAAGTCAATTTCAATTCGTCTAGTCTGTTTGAGACCTATATAATGAAATGATAAACGACCATTCGTTCCAAATAAAACGAAAAAGTCAGCATTCTTTTGTTTTTTTTGTCGTGTTGATGACCGCATAGTTATAGACGTTTCAATTTTTGACGTAAGAAAAAAAAGAAAATGTATGGGTTAGGCGAGCATTGGGAAAAGAGTGTACAATATAAATATAAAAACAGTAATTGTTTGCCTATATGTTTTTCATTCTATGTAATTCAATATTGCGGAGTATATTGATCTGCAATAGAAAATAAATATCAATTTTACATTTAAATTCGATTATCTTTATCAAAATTCTTAATTAAAACAGATATTCTTGCTGAAGATTTTTTGCATTGTTAAGGCGTCTTTTTATCAATTTTATTTTTGTATGAAAGGCTTTTCATCTGAAATAACTTAAAAATCAAATATTCATCGAATTTGAACAAAATATTAAATATGAGTTCGACTGAACTTAAATATTTTCATGATATTTCTCCTAAATAATCGTACATGTTTATTTTGTATGAAATAAATGCATCCTGCTTTCGATTCTCTTTTATCTTATGTATTGATTAATCTTTTAACTCTTGCTGTCATTCAATATGCATCGTCAGTTTTATTTATTGCTAAGTTGTCCAATAAGAGCAATTATTAGAATTGAGATACACAAAGACCAATGCATGACTCATGATATGAAAAGAAAAAGAACCATGTCACAGGAAAATTCGACTCGTTCTATATTACATATTGATTTATTTCATCCGCTGAAAAGATTTTTCAATCTTCAACTTCATTTGAAATAGAATAGAAATATAGAAAAGATTTATTTTGATGATAAGTTTTAATTCAAAGAAATAATCGTTATGATTTGAAAATATTTCAATAGTTAACGTTGATTGGAATAAAATGAAATAAGCAAAGTAATTTCGATCTTATATTGTTAACTTTGGTAGTCTGAAATGTTTGTAAAAGGATTCAAAGCATTTTCATAAAAGAAATATAACAAATGAGTAGCATGTCAGACCAGTCTGCAGACTTAATATGGTGCTCATGCAGCAAGATTCACAAAACCTAGCATGAATGTTAAGTGTACTATAGTGTTATCAAGGCACAGTATGTGCATCAAGTGCGATGAATTGCTATATTGATTAAACGACAATCAATAGATAACAAAGAAACAGAAAATCGCTTCAGACAGTTGACTGTAATCCAGGAGTGTAGCCAGAGGAATGTCCGAGGTGCCCGGGCACTTCCCTTGGAGAAGAAATGCATGGAGGGAGATACAGGACTAGAAAACTATTCACAATGTTAAGGATTTTTTTCTATTGGTGGGAAACCCTTCCCCCTGGAGAATTTCTGACTACGCCACTGCTGTAATCTTCTTTTTGCCGATATCTCTTTCCATATTGATCGATCGTTCTTCTTTTCCAATTATTTAAGTTAATGTTTCATTGTTGATTACAATTTATTTCAATATGCTTGTGTTTGATTAGTAAATCCTTTTATAATGTTAAAACTGCTTTCTTTTTAACAAACTACATCTTTTATAACAAGTGTCTTGTTCTAATAAAAGGAAAAGTTTCTGAATATCTTTGTAGTAGAGTAATTTTATTATTTTCTCTTATCTAGCGCCAATAAGTGTAAAATGTTGCAGGTAAATAAAAGCATATGTCAAATATATGAAACAGGCTATTTCTGCACAATCACATCGCACGATTTTTTCTAAATATTTGCCTTTGGTCTTTTTCTGTTTTTACATACATGCAATTTTATTTCTTTCGAGCGAATTTTTACACAGAAATTAATGGATTTTGTGTTGTGTTCAGTAATTTTCAATTTTTTAATGTATTTTCTCTGAGAATAAATAGTTACAGCTCGATCAAAATTGTAGCTGTTGTATCTTAATGTTTTGTTCAAATCCGACTTGTATCGTTTACTATATTCTGTGTTGCCTACAGCTTTTATTAATTGTGCAATGATACAATAATCATAGTAAATATAGACAGTTAGTAGAATCGATGAGAAACAGCTATTTTTAGAATGAAAACCAAAGAAATATGATTAGTCAGAATACAGAAACGGCGTATCCCTATGTCTAATCCATAATGGTATTACCAAGGAAAAAAGCGTGACTCTAGTACTCTGGAGTACCAATGGAGTACAGACTATTGATATCCCATTACTATTTCGCCAGTGTCCCATTACTATGCTAGTAGTACTTCACTGATACTCCGCTGATACTTTTTAGACCTGGACCCAGTCCCGAATCGTGCTCTTGATATTCCATGAAGTTTTTAAATTTTCATCTGATACTCACTGCGTAATACATTCTCAACATTTTTCGAGTAATCTCAACAATGATCTTATACGAATCAAGTTGACTAGTTCTTTTCCTTTTTCAGATTAGCGTCCATGACGTCGGACGCGGATGTGGACCTGGCACAGGTAAATAGAAAATTTTCAGATTCCCAAGAGCGTATTTACAAGGAAGATTGAGGAATGGGTGTGGAGTGTGGGTGTGGGTGTGGGTGCGTGTGGGCTGTGAACGTGGGTGTCGATCTTCTATTCTGTCACACCCACACTCACACCGACACCGACACCGACACCCACAACCACACGCCACTCATACCCACATCCACACTGACACCCACACCCTCACCCACACCGACACCCACATCCACCCACACCCACATCCATCTTGCTTTTGGCTATAGGTAAACATCTATCAGTCTGACGACGGCAATGATAGTGAACATGTTTAGTAGTAGATAGGTGATACGATCATGAACACCATTGACTCTATAACAATTCGTGAACAATGGCATGGGAATGTGTTAGAATAGCAAGAGTACAAAAACTCGAATTGAAACTCTTGGAAGCCATGGATACTGAATGAAAATAATGACTGTTGTAATCCCATGAATGGTGAAATAATATCAAATAAGAGATACAAAATAGTGACATAAGGCTGAGTGGCTAACACCTAATGTTCGACTTTCCATTTGCTATGATATACATTCAGCGCGAGTAGTCAGGGTGTGGGTCGACTTTGCGCACACGGCTAAATCCACACCCATACTCGCATCCGCACTCACCCAACCAACACCCACACTCGCCTCCACACTCACTCAAACAACACCCATACTCGCATCCCCAGTCACCCATACCCATATTTACGACCACCCATACCCACACAGCTCGTCGATTAGGTGTGAGTATGGGTGTGGTGAGTGTGGATCGACTTTGCATGCACACCCAAATCCCTACCCACCCACACCAGCACAGTTCAGCTCGTTTCAAGGTGAGTCTCTTCTTCCCTTGTACTATGTATCACTGTTTGTCTCTATATGATTGATCATTGAAGAGATGATGGGTTAATGCTTTTGAACATAAACACCCTCTTCAAGGGCCATTTTCCTTGAAGAATATTGATACTATTATTCTGATAGGACCCAGAGATGCTAGTC